ATAGAATTAATAATTTTCATATGTAATCAGCAGAAAACAACGATGGGCGAGCGAAGCGAGTCCTGAGAACAATTGAAGTCAGTATATTTCTTCAAACTTCAATTGATTTCAGGACTCACTTCGTTCGCCCATCAATATTAACTAAAAAGTAAAATTCTAAGTACAAAAAAAAATAAAAATTATTGTAGACAATTCAACACATAATTGTCTTGGAATGTTAATTTTCAAACCAAATATTGGAAGTTGACGATGGGCGAGCGAAGCGAGTCCTGAGAACAATTGAAGTGAGAATAAACAAAAATTAATCTATCAAAGAAACAAAATTTCATCTAAAAAACAAACGACTAAAGTAACAAATGAAGGCCCAACAAACGCGTCTGTAAATCGAGTTAAACTGCAAACGACACCGGTTTTTTTTGCAAAATAAAAAATGAAATAATAATAACAACAACAACAAGCAAAGCGTTCATGTTGCGTTCGGCTCGTCGGAGCACCCTAAAAATCATCAAAATATTTGATTACGTGGCGCTATCACATCGTAGTAAACAAACCGCTCACTCACTCAATCACTCGTTTATTTATTTTTGTTACTTTTTGACGATTGCTACTACCACATTTATTTCTTTCTCTCTCTCTTTTATCAAGAGTATTTTCCGATTTCCCGAAATTTTGCGCAAGATTGCTGAGATAAGATACGCGTCTTCCTTTTACGTCTCCGTCGTAAACAACACTTCACAGCCTACGTTAAGGAATTCGCGCAGATTATTTTGGAAATGCATTCAAGATAAGCGATTTATATTTTATTTTATCATCATCGTTATATACAATGTTTCAATTATTTAAAAATAAACGTTTTTGGAAACGCAATCAATGTCATTTCATTGTCAATGTCGACGCTATAATAAGTAATAAAGATAAAGGGAAAAAAATGATAAACTTTAGGTATCCAAAAAATTATTGTTGGAATGATGTAATGTGAAGTGTGTTTATTTAAATATTTTGTTTGTTGACGTGAATATGCACTATTTATTGATATCAGTAAACAAAAATTATAAATATAATTTGAGTACAAAATTATATCTAAATTGTGTGTGTTTGTATTAAGTTAATCGTAACAAATATTGTGTATATTATTGGATTTGCGATAAAGCAATGCAATCTAATGTATTTTGATACGAATTTCGGTAATTTCTATCAAAATAAAAACAAAAAAATAATGCTTATCTAAAAAAGCAATTGATTCTATTTGTAATAATAGTAAAATTATGTCATAAAAGAAGCGTTACTACTTTGATTTGTTGCCATTTTGTTTCTATCGAGGTTATGTCATTTCTCATATGACACTCTTATTGTCATTACTGTTAATTTTTCGATATTACTTTCATACAATAAAGAAATCTGTTTACTTTGTCAATAAAACAAGACTTATTCAATTATGTAATGCGTTATGTGGTTGCAAAACTAATTTTCATCAATTTCAATATGCAAATTATAAAAATAAGGTGTCATAAAAGAAACGTTACTACTTTGAATTGCCACCATCTAATTACTGTTCAGGTTACGTACATTCTGATTGGATAATCTTATAGAGTAAAGCATCAAGTTTCGATTCGTTAACATTTAGTTGGTATACCTGTTTCGTAATTTGTTTTTTTTTTATCAATTTGATATGTCTATGTTTGTTTGCGTTGCGATAAAGAGCGTAGCAATTTTTTGACAAATTCGCGGGAAATTCGAATTTAAGCGAGAGGAACGTAAGGAGTGAGTCATAGGTATGCGTACGAGCGAGCGAGCGAGAGATAGATAGCGATGTTAGAGGTCGGAGGCGGCTGAGGCGGTGGCGGTGGCGGCAGCGACGACGGCTGAGGTATTGGCCGCTCTCTGGGTCTGGTGCAACGGCAGTAGTGGAGTGGTAGTAGCGAGGAATGAAGGCAGGCAGTTGTTGCAGCAGACACAGAGAGCACACGCAGTGCGCGCATATGCAGTGCGCGACCTATCCTAACCCAGTCGTCGTCAGCTCACTATCGCATCCGTTTCAGAGCCCTACAACAACAACAAAACAACAAACAAACAACAACAGCAACAACAAAAACAAGTAGCCATGGAAGAAACAAGAGAGCGTAAGGTCCCAGTACAGACTCGTTGAAATCGTGGGGGAATCCCCAGAAAGGAAAAACAAACCAATCGGGACCAAAAGAAATATAGTAGCTAAACTACAACGGAAACAAATGAATGTTAGAAGCGTGCCTTATTGACGAAATCAAAAGTATATGAAAAAAAAATATAATATATATATATATATACAAATATAAACAATTGTTAATAAACAATTATATAATAAAAAGCAAAAGTGATACAAAACAAAAGCAACAACAACAAGAATTTGTTAAAACTTCGCTGTTAGTAATGTGCGTGAATGTGCGCGCAAAATGTGAAATAACCAAATACGAACAACAATTTTCCGGCGCTCCGAAACGTAGATGCGTTCTGTAATGAAAGATGTGTACGAGGAATACGTTTTCAATCGCAGGCATCCGAGTTCTGGTTAGTCTTTATTTATATTTTTTATTTTTTCTACCCTACGTATTATGCAATTCTTCCATTGCAATTCAACACCTCTTTCAAATTTGAAAGAGATCTAGTGGTAAGAGTATTGTATGCTTTTTGTTGTTGTTGTTGTTCTTTTGTTATTGTTGTTGTTTGGCGGAAGGACCGAACACGTGGCGACATCTGTGCATCGGCTTCGCGTTCTTCGCCTTCGGCCTTCTTTGATCCCCCTTTCCCGAAACCGCACACACACGCACACCCCAAGCCACATCAACAAGTAATACACACACATATTCGAGACGCCGATCGATGCTCTTGCATTTCCACTGTTTTACCAACATATCTTGTTTGTTTTACTTTAATTTGCGATTTTCTTAAATATCTTAAATCAATTATTACAATACAAATATTGTTTACTCAAACAACAATAATTATCGTCTTATCACTTATAGAAAAAATGCTTTAAACAAAATGCAACAATTCAATTTTTTCATTAAAGAACGAAAACAAACGTTTTTTCTGTAATTGACGCAACCGTTGTTCGCATAAACAACAACAACATGAGCGAGAAAACAAAAGTCCGTTGACGTTTCCATAAATCGCAAATGTCAATTATTGTTAGTTATTTTACAATTAATTCTTTTTTTTTTTTTTGGTGGCGCCATCTCTGATTAGCCGAATTTCCACTGTTTTAGCAACATATCTTGTTTGTTTTACTTTAATTTGCGATTTTCTTAAATATCAATTATTACAATACAAATATTGTTTACTCAAACAACAAAAAAAAACAAAGATTATTGTCTTATCACTTATAGAAAAAATGCTTTAAACAAAAGGCAACAATTCAATTTTTTCATTAAAGAACGAAAACAAGCAAATAAACAAACGTTTCTTTCTGTAATTGACGCAACCGCTGTTCGCATAAACAACAACAACAACATGAGCGAGAAAACAAAAGTCCGTTGACGTTTCCATTAATCGCAAATGTTAATTATTGTTAGTTATTTTACAATTAATTCTTTTTTTTTTGGTGGCGCCATCTCTGATTTAGCCGAATTTCCACTGTTTTAGCAACATATCTTCTATGTTTTACTTTAATTTGCGATTTCCTTAAATATCAATTATTACAATACAAATATTGTTTACTCAAACAACAACAAAAAACAAAGATTTTTGTCTTATCACTTATAGAAAAAAATGCTTTAAACAAAAGGCAACAATTCAATTTTTTCATTAAAGAACGAAAACAAACGTTTTTTTCTGTAATTGACGCAACCGCTGTTCGCATAAACAACAACAACATGAGCGAGAAAACAAAAGTCCGTTGACGTTTCCATAAATCGCAAATGTCAATTATTGTTAGTTATTTTACAATTAATTCTTTTTGTTTTTTTGGTGGCGCCATCTCTGGTATAGCCGAATTTCCACTGTTTTAGCAACATATCTTGTTTGTTTTACTTTAATTTGCGATTTTCTTAAATATCAATTATTACAATACAAATATTGTTTACTCAAACAACAACAAAAAACAAAGATTATTGTCTTATCACTTATAGAAAAAATGCAACAATTCAATTTTTTCATTAAAGAACAAAAACAACGCAAGCAAATAAACAAACGTTTCTTTCTGTAATTGACGCAACCGTTGTTCGCATAAACAACAACAACAACATGAGCGAGAAAACAAAAGTCCGTTGACGTTTCCATAAATGAAACATCGCAAATGTCAATTATTTTACAATTAACTCTTTTTTTTTTGGTGGCGCCATCTCTGATATAACCGAATTTCCTGTTGCAAACGTGGCACGTTGTTCCTTATATGCGAGAATATGTTAATTATCATCAATTAATTTCGCTATTCGTATACGCATTTACGTGTCTGTGTGTGGAAGACCTCGAACTGACAAAACAAACACACACAAATCGAGCGAGCGGCGAAATGCCAGCGCGCAAATTAACGAAAAGAGGAAGGACAAACGGCAACAAACAACGGCCATACGTGTTTAAATTCATTCAATATCGAATTGCCAATGTAAATGTGCACTCTCTCTCTTTCTCTCTCTATTTATGTCGATTTAATCGAGCGGGAAATTTGAAACAAAAAACAACAACAAACATCAACCTCTGTTATTTTCTATTTGGAAACAATTGCACGATCAACTTCGAGTCAAACATTTCTATTAATCGTTTCTATTAAACAAAACAACAACAAAAAAAAGAAAATCCGTGTCACGGTTAAACTAAAATAAATGAATTCGCGTCATTAACAAAGCGCATCCAAAATCAATTATATAATCTCCATGGCGACACATGCAATAATAATTATAATAACTTCTTGCACTTGTTTTAATTATATTTTTTTTTGTTTTTGTTTCTTTTCCATTCTAATTTTTCTATCGTCATGTGATTGGCACATTATTTATTTATTATTGTTTTTTCTTCTGCTCCTTCGTTTCGCTCACCTTCCAAATGCCAATTAACTGCAAATTGCGTACAGGAAATGGAGAAACGGCGAAAACCTTGAATGCACTTTTGTTTCTCTCTCTGTTTATAGAATTCATTTAATTTTCTCTCCGCAATTTAATTTTCCGCACGCAATTCCATTAATTATGATTATATACATATATTTAATATAAATTTAATTCGTTAATCGACAAAGATTTTTGCGTTTTTTCCATTTGAACAATTTTCAAAATTGGTGGATGCGCCGGGTTTACAAATGATTATTAATGATTAATTCATGAAAAAAATGCCAATGTACTTAGAAAATTGAATAAACTTGTTTTGTCTTTTTTTTTTTTGTTAACAATTGCGCAACGAAATTTCCCCGTTTCATGTATTTAACGTTTCAAAGAACATTTGTATGAATTGTTCGCATTCGATTGTCATGGCAACATGAAAAACAAATGTTTTATGTGGAAATTGATAAATTATTTCCATGGTTACCATAAATATAAAAATATGATAGCTTTCTGAGATTCATGGAGGAAGTTGATTATGTAAATGAAACTAATTGTTTATTTTTAATTGCCGCCGTTGGTGATAGTATCTCCATTATGTATTTCGAAATAATTTTAAATGAAAAAAAAACAACAAAATTTGTTTTCTACGGAAACAAAATGTGAATTGTTCGCATTCGATGTTCGATTGTCATGGCAACATGAAAAACAAATGTTATATATGGAAATTGATAAATTATTTCCATGGTTACCATAAATATAAAACTATGATAGCTTTCTGAGATTCATGGAGGAAGTTGATTATGTAAAACACTATACGAATTTGCGTATCGAAAATGTTAATTAATTTAACTGTAGAATTAATTACGAAATAAAAATAAAATAAATTAAGGTCATAGAGGAAACGATTGAAATGCGCACTAAATTTCAACAATGTCTATGGTTAGTTAACCGGTTCTTCTTGGGAGGAACAAAGATGATGGTAGGAGGATGTAAGTTATACAATTATTCCATTTACTTCACGCTACATATATATAAAATTATGAACATACACAGACAGACACGAAATGCATATATAAATAAAGAGAAAGTCGAGGTGAGAGAGACGTTTTGGGCTGATGGAGGTGGATTATTATTATTATTATTATGTATGAAAATCTAAACATGGAACGGCGCAAAATGCAAACAACATTTCCAAATCCGACTCCAATTTAATTTAAATCTTTTCGCAACTGAAATTTATGGACACAGATGGAAAATAAATGAAAACTAATACTCGACGCAATCGAAATCCGAATTCCAAACTGCAATTTCTCAACCGTTGAAATTACAAGAAAAAAAAAAAACGAAAATTCGTGATTCACCTAAATCCTATGACGCATTTCCATAGACAAGGAAATTGTAGTAAACAACAAACGTGGAAAAACAAAAAAAATAGTTCGATTATTATAGTTTTGTTTCGATTGGATTTTGTTTTTTTTTCCCTTCTTCAAAGTGTCAAATAAATTGAAAGTGTCAAAAATGTAACAAAAGATAGTTCGAAAACAAGTAATTGAGGATCAATAACAAATGCAGAAACAATTGAAGAAGATAGGATCGGAATGCGCGACAGTGAGGCAACAGTCTCTCCTGTTGCCTCACAGTCAATATAGATTCGTGATTCATTTTCGGGCTGAAATTATCGCGTCGTCCTTGGAGCGTCGTCTTCTTGTAAATGTTAAATTGTGCGCGCAAAATTCAAATCAATTGACGATTTTTATGTGTCTGTTTCATAAGGAATGCGTGCGTACATGCAAACTTGATAGGTAAGTTGAATTAGTACGAGTGTTGTTGTTGTTATGTCGATGCGAGGAGGAAAAACAACGAGACTACGCTAAATTGCGTGAGTGCAAGAAAGAGAGAGAGAATTGTATGTGGAAAAGAGGAAAAGGAGTCGAGTTAACTCAACATCATCAACAACATCGTCGTCGTCGGACGCATTACACACACACACATACATAACAAACAACATGAAAGTAGGCTAATGTCACGGCGACGAGTTAAATATAACTCACGACTTCTTACCAGTAGTATAAGCAGTCCGTTGTTGTGGTATGCATGCGTATTCATACACTTATGTACCCGCACTTACTCAATAGCTTTTCTCTCTCTCTCTGTACGTCTTTCACTCTCTCAACTTAATTCATTGTTTCAAAGCCTACTACGCAAACGAACGAAACAGACGTACAAAGTGAAAAAGACAGAGAAGGCATAACAAAAAAATAACAAACTAATTGTCGTTGCATCATCAGCTGTTATCTAAACTTTACACTTTGGACCTAACCTAATAGCATATGCATTAGACTCAAATGCATAGAATCACCTTAGAAACAAATGCATCTTTGTAAACGTCATATGAACTTGAACATTAAGTTTGATGCATCTATACACTAAATTTTTGATTTTACAAACCTAATAGCATAAGACTCAAATGCATAGAATCACCTTAGAAACGGAAAAACAAATGCATCTTTGTAAATGTCATATGAACTTTAACAT